AACCGTTGAAAATCAGAACAGAGAGCAAAATCTCCATTCCATCCATATCTGCCATTAACACTACTACTGATACAGCCATAGCTTGATCTTTACGTCTTGCTTGAGGGTTTGCACTTTAGGTCTTTCAATTAGCACACTAGCTGACCGCATAAGATGGTATGAAAAACATCCCCCTCCTGTGTCATACATTAGCGACAAGCCCTATATGTCCCACTTCGTCCACAACGTTCTCCCCCCCTCCTACCAGTACCTGCTGTATGTCGCCCATCTCTCTCCAAATCGCACACCAATCCATTGGGAGAGATGAGAGACACTACGTGGCCGGGAGGCTCTAAGCTTTTAACACCATACCACCACTCCCTGCATGTCAATAGGTTATATCCGGGATCTACAACGAGACTGTGGAAGTGTGCGTAAGGGTGTGACCCAAGCTTCAACTGATCGATTTCCGCGGTTCCTCCCTGCTCCCGTGAATGCACAGAGTAAACTGTGCACTCACTTGCCACACACACACACACACACGGCCCCCATCGTCTGACTTTGGGTGTGGTTGCCTGCTACGCAGCGAAGACAACACTTACTTGTGCTTGCTTTTTCCTGCTTATACGTAGCTTGTATATACATTCTAGGTCACAAGATGACAAAGAAAGGAGTAACATTGTTTGGTGAGGGGGCTATGTGCTTCTGTATGAAGTATACATAATGTTGTACATGTACTTATCATTGTACATAAGTAGTGGCCTTCCTCACTGTACTACACAAAAAGATGCTAAAACTATAGTACATGAAAACACAGACTCCCATGTTTGTACACAAACACACACTTTCCCCAAGTCCAAAAAGGTTAAGAACTACGTATGTACGTGGGCTGCCAATGTGTGAGACACAGTGCCCTGTGACAACCTGTACATATTGCAGCTATGGTCTCCATGATAGCTGGTAGAGAGCCGTGGCGCCACCTGTCAGCTATAGGTAAGGTACAGGTACTCATACACGGAGCCAGATCAAAGGGTTTGTGCAATCAGAGGACCTCGTCAAACGACAATGCGAGACTACAAGCGATTGAACATGGGAAAGAAGACTGTGTAGCTCCGTGTGTACGTGGACAAGGAATCTACATCGTCTTCCCGATATGATGAGCTGGGCTAGCTGCTGGCATGACTAGCACCGCAAGGAATTTCCAAGTAGGTAGGTTAGCTATCTTCCACTCTCAACTGCTTGCACGCGAAATTTATAAGCCACAACAAAATAACAAAAGATCGTACCGATCTGCTAGCTCAAACTATACAACTGAACTCTCGATCTACTTGGTAAATAGCTCTGCCAGCGCACACTTACACTGACACCAGACGGCTCCGATGATGCAGAACAGCGTCAGGACAGGTAGCACAGTCTTGAGTCCCATACTGGCTCTCTCCGATGTCTCACTACTAGCTGGTTACTGTCGCTCGGCTGTGCTCTGACCGATTGCAATGCAGCGTGTTTTCGTTTTTAGAGGTTGCAGTCTTGCGCATGCGCAATAGAGCTGTTAAAAGTGTGCGTGTACATGGATGATCGATGATGACCCACTCGCGCCATCTGCAGCTAGAGCAGAACAATTAACATGCACACAGAGCATTGTCCTCCAATTTTCATTGCCGTCACAACCAACCAGCAACTCCCTTCGCATTTGTCGTTATTTATCAAACACAAAACTATAGTGACGAATCTACAATTCATAAACAGCTCATTCAACAAAACAGCATAAAAGGCAGATGCATGGTCTAAAAATCAGACGGAGAGGATGGGACCCCGTTCTCTATTGCATCACTGCTCCCAGAACCTCCTTTGTCCCCACTTGCGGCCGCACATACTGCCTCGCTGTTTGTTTCATTAGCTTCTGCTGCACCATTTGTTATGCCGTGACCATTAGCAACGACCTCTGCCCCTTCACTGCTTGCACCACCAGCATCGCCATTAGCAATGACCTCCGAAATCTCGCCATTTGTTTTTCCCCCAGCGTCTCCATTGGCAATGACCTCTGTTCCACTACTTCCGACCTCTGGCCTTTCACCCCCAGCGTCTCCGTTTTCAGTGCCGTTACTGTTGCCAGTCTCTGACGAGGGTTTGACGAGGGGGACATCCTCGGGGGTGGGGGGAGGTTCAGGTGACTCTCTGACGGCGAGATTCTCGAGGTGCTGTGTTGTGGTGTTGTAGGTGGCCTTGGCTCGCACTGCGTCTCGCATGATGTCCAGTTTCTGGGCCTCAAACTGCTCCTCCGCGATGCAGTCCTCAAAGAATTCTAGTAAGGGGAAGAGAGTATGGGCATTATGGTGATGATTACAGGGGCATACAAATGGGACTCATGGTTACGGTAGAATTTTGGCATCAACCAAATCTACATAATATGTCAGGGAATCGCTCTAAGAAACAATAATAGATGGGGAATTTCCTTCTTACCCTCTCTTCAGAAAATACAAAACACTCCCCAAATATCAGGTTACACTCCCCATAAAGCTCGTCAAACACAAGCTTAGAAACTCAAATCTTGTGAACCAGACTCCTTTGTGACACACATGCATGCATAGCACAGTGGTTTGAGGTTTGCCTTGTGTTGTATTGTGTTGTAGATTCGAACCCCTACCAGCTGAGTTGCCCTGGTAGCTCAGTTGGAAGAGCACTCGCCTAGACTGCAGTGTCGTGGGTTCGAATCCCACCTAGGGCAGCTCGGAAAACGAGCTGTCCTGGGTGTAGTTGATTTGTTTGTTGTGCCTTTGCCTATCTAACCTCATAGTTTCACATGCATGAGTCGGCAGGGCAAAGGCCCTTCCCACTCTGCCCTTTCCACAAAGAAACGGCTGACCACCTATTCCCCATACTCTCTCTCTGTAGTCCCTCAGTAAGTGTACGCTGACCACCTATTCCCCATGCTCTCTCTCTCTAGTCCCTCAGTAAGTGTACGCTGACTACCTATTCCCCATGCTCTCTCTCTCTGTAGTCCCTCAGTAAGTGTACACTGACCACCTATTCCCCATGCTCTCTCTCTCTGTAGTCCCTCAGTAAGTGTACGCTGACCACCTATTTCCCATGCTCTCTCTCTCTGTAGTCCCTCAGTAAGTGTACGCTGACTACCTATTCCCCATGCTCTCTCTCTCTGTAGTCCCTCAGTAAGTGTACGCTGACTACCTATTCCCATGCTCTCTCTCTCTGTAGTCCCTCAGTAAGTGTACGCTGACCACCTATTCCCCATACTCTCTCTCTGTAGTCCCTCAGTAAGTGTACGCTGACCACCTATTCCCCATACTATCTCTCTCTAGTCCCTCAGTAAGTGTACGCTGACTACCTATTCCCCATGCTCTCTCTCTCTGTAGTCCCTCAGTAAGTGTACGCTGACTACCTATTCCCCATGCTCTCTCTCTCTGTAGTCCCTCAGTAAGTGTACGCTGACTACCTATTCCCCATGCTCTCTCTCTCTCTGTAGTCCCTCAGTAAGTGTACGCTGACCACCTATTCCCCATGCTCTCTCTCTCTGTAGTCCCTCAGTAAGTGTACGCTGACTACCTATTCCCCATACTCTCTCTCTGTAGTCCCTCAGTATATAAGTGTAAGGTAAGACGCTCACTTTTGAGATTCGTGACGTCGGTCTCAATTTGTAGGTCGATCTGGACTCCGCTCTCCTTGAGAGCTCTGTCCAGTCTCTTGAGGGAGTCCTCGGCCAGACGCAGTCTCTTCTCCGTCTTTATCCTCCTCTGTCGCTCCTCCTTCCACTTGGACTCCGTCGTCTGCTTCTCCTCCGTAACTTGCTGCAAACACAGACGCATTTATTTATTGCCCAAATACGCACTACAGTTATAGATACCGACTGGGAAAAAAGCTTCAGAGCTACGTCTAGTTGTGTAAACTATAAGCCAAGTTTATTCAGAGCTACATGCCGCTGTAGCTAAGTTCTGTGCCTGCACCACACCGACACATTAGCACCACAGGTGTTTTCATGCACTGTTTGTAGGTAATATACCTTGAGATTGGCCTCCAGATTCTGAGCTGCATCAGACATCAATCTCTTCTCAGACTCCAGCTGTTTGGCCGTCTCTTCCTGGGTCCTCAGTCTGTATGTACATACATACAGTACGATATACCAGTTGAACAACAGGATTCAGGCTTCTAGCTAGTGTTCCTTGTCTATGTGGGGGTGTATGCATGTATGTGTGCATGTATGTAGTATGTATTGTGTGAATGGTAGAAGAAAGTGTGACTAACTGTTCAACGGTCATTTTCTTCTCTTCCTCGAGTGCTCTCTGTCTCTCCTCCATCGACTGGGGGAACAACAAGGAGTATTGTGGCAAGTAAAGAGCTATAGGAGGCTAGAGTAATGTATGCATGGATTAGGCAAGGAAGTGGTAGCTCTCCCTAGCTGTCCTCCATTACTAGAACGAATGCAACGTATTTTTGGCATTTGTCATTGGTGCATGGTCGGTCATTAGACACACGACTGCAACTAGCTGCGTCTTTCCAGAAAAACGGTGCAATTCAGACAACATGCAAGTGCAAATGAGGGACTACATAGGGGGAGTGGGGAGGCACTAACAATGAGGCCGGCCTTGAGGTGGGTGGTGGCCTCCTCCAGTTGGTGCTTCTCTTCCTCCATGTCCATGGCCAGTCTCTCTCTCTCCTGCAGCTCCGCAGTCGTCTGCTCCTTCTCTTTTGACACCGTCTGCAGGGTTTGAAGTAAACAGAGTCATGTTTGTGGGTAGCTATGCACATTAGTATACATAAAGCAGAGTAGTGTTATGGTCCTGACCTGGAGTACGACTTGTAGTTCCTCAGTGGCTTTGAACAAACTCTCCTTCTCCTCCTGAATGGTACTGACTGACTGGAGTGTCTGCTGCAGCTCCCTGCGGGACACACACACACACACACACACACACAGCTGAGCTAACCAACATTCTACCAGTTTATATTGACAGTCAGCTAGTACACGCGGTGGGCAGAAGGCACATTATTCACGAAAAATAACTTTCGCAAGTTCATATTAAAAATTCCTGAAACCTTTTAGTTGCAAGGTATGTTATTGCAGGTGAACATGCTGGCAGCTGATTAGAAAGATATCCAGTGATTAATGAGGTAAAAATCACCTCCCGTGCATTTACTTAGCGTCTCACCAAATTACGCATTAGTTGAGGGTTGACCGAAGCAACACTTACTGTTGAACTGTGTCCTTCTCCGCGCGAAGGCTTTTGGCCGCGTCTTCCACTGCTTTCATCTCCACCTCAAACTTAGCTGCTAGTGCCTCTAGCTCCTGGAGCGGGGAGAAATGGAGGGAGGGAGGTACGGGAGAGGGGGGAGGAGAACGAGAGAGAAGAGGAGAGGAGAGAGAGAGGGGGAAGGAGAATGAGAGAGAAGAGGAGAGGAGAGGGGAGAGAGAGAGAGAGGTGGCGAAGTAGTCAAGAGTGTGGGAGGGAACAGGAGAGGAAGAATGGAAGGGAAATAAAGTGCTCATGTGCTCTTGGTAAGACGGAAGTATTCATGCAGTAAGAGAGTGGCTTCAACAATTGCACAATACCCAGTTGGGCCAACACTTACACTCTTCTTTTCTTTCTCTTCCTCCAGTACAGATGCCTTCTCATTCAGATCATCTGTGAGTAGTTTGTAGAGAGCGTGCAATTTGTGTGAGTGAGTCTCAGAGAGTGTCATAATATTATGCCAACAGTGATGCAAGTGCAGGAAACTACTATCAGCAACTAATAACGAGTAAACACTCTCAATCAACAGTATGAGAGTACGGTGGTGAGAAGTCTTGGTGACTGAGGTCTCCAGTGACTCAGTTCAGACTAACAGGAAAGGAATCTTTGGCACCCAAAGACAGGTTTCAAGTGCTAACATACATACACTCTCACCACACAACCAGTGATTCATGTGTTCCCCACACAAGCCATAGTATAATTCACAAAGTGCAATTATGTAGTGCCATATTATTCCCAATGGGAATGTCTTTGAATGTCATACGTATACATACGTAGGTACTGAAGGCAGTGGTAATAATGCAGCATGGTGTGCCAAGTTTCTGAAACATCCAGGGAGGTAAGGCAAGGCAAGGCAAGGCAAAATTGATGCCCGAGTTTAATCTTAAACCTACGATTTACTGCACTGTGCAACAAGCCCTTTATATATAGCACGTTTGAATGTGTGAAGTGGAAATGAACCATACATACACTTTGGTATAACTTGGGCGGGATGAGCAATCCGTTTGGCGTTGACATTGTCAAATGCACTATATATAATGATCTTGCAGTCAGTGGTATATACAGTAGAGTAGCTATACTGCAAGTGTGTGATTATGGCTCACCAATGGCTTCTTTCAACTGGGCCGCGGTATCTCTGCTCTTCTCCTCCATCTGGATTATGACCTTCTCACCAAATTGGGCATTCCTCCACGTCCTACATACATACAGTACATGTGTATACATACATACATACATACATACATACATACATACATACATACAGTGTGTGTACATACATACAGTGTGTGTACATACATACAGTGTGTGTACGTGTAAAGTTCCTCCCATCAAAGATGCAAGTTTCTACGCTCGTGTGAGTGTGTGCACAACAAGTGTGTGTTGACAGTTCCGTTTAAAATGAAACCGCCCGTGGGTCTAGCCTAGATTTGACAACTTCGGGAAGGACACATACACACCAGTAGTGAGGACTGAAGAAGTGAACCGTATACTTTACCACAATCACCACCAAACAGTAACAGAGTGTCTTATTGCATGCTAATGAGACTCACACTTTCCCGGCATCTCTGAGGACATCCCCCCATTCAGTACGCTCCTCCTGGTTGTCAGCACCCAGCCATATCTCTCCCTGAATTAGTGAGGGAGGGAGGAGGAGGGAGGGGGTGGTACATATTCCGTGTCAGGGTAACTCATTCACTCTCAGTGGGTGTCCGGGTGCGTATGCATGCAAGAATGAAAATTATACATCATTGAGATTTAACCCTGATGATTTATAAGACAGAAATTGGAGCAAACTTTGATTTGAATGCTGAATTTCCCCCCCAATGAATTTATTTGCC